AGAACATTTACAACAAACAGTCAATACAAACATCAACAATTAAGGTCAACTGCTCAGGACAGGGTAAGGGACAGACAACCAGGAGTATGAACAGTTTACAAAGACATAGAACATTAACAACAAATAGTCTATACAAACATCAGCAATTATGGTCGACTAGGTAGATACACATTAACACAAAACAACAACTGTAGTCAACTGGGTGGACACCTTGTAGATAAAAACCTGTGCTTGGGAAAACTTGGGAAACTCCTGAGAGTGGTGGGGAGGGCAGGGGGCAGGTTTGTGTGGATAACAAGGAAGAAGTCTTGTGCAAGTGCAAGGCCATTTTCTCCTCTCTCTGATGTGGTTTCCTGCTCCCATCAACTTCCCAAGTTCCAGGTGCTCAGTCCCACTGTCAGGAAACATCCTCTGTGTTTGCCCAGCCCCTTCCCCTCCTGGTTTATCTCTGACCATGGGATCCAGGAGAACAGTCCCCTTCCCTACACTTGAGTTCATTGCCAGCTTTGTAAACCCTTCTTCTCTATTTTTTTTTTTTTAGATAAAATTTGGCTACTAATTGAAAGGCAGCAGGTAATTCCTTTCCTTTACTTGCAAAACGTTCCCTGCAAATTTCTCCAGTTGTTCATTTAAGAACTGTATGTCCTGCACTTTCCTGCTTCAGTTTCAAGGAGACCTAAGCAGAGTCTCCAAGGCTGTCCCTCACCTTAAAAGAAGGGAGTCAGATCTATTCCCATCTCTTGTTCTGCTATTAACAGGATGTGATTTGTGTTTTACAGGCTCTAACATTCAACACCGTTTCTTTACAGCAAGGCTTCTCTATTAACTGATACCTCTCCAGAATGTAAGTGTTCAAAAATACCCTTTATTCCTTAGGACTGTGGCTTGGGGCTGTGAGTCTTGCAGAGAAATTCTCTCACCTAACAATGTGATCAGCATTTTTTTGCATGTATCTCTTGTCCTTGCCAGAGTGTGCAGCCTCAGGACGGAGCTCTTGAAATGTGCACTGGGCAGAAATCTCTGGGAACTCACCAGGGAAATAATTTATCCTCAGCCTGAGGGAGACACTGGGTTTGCTTCAGCTCTCAGAAAAATTCTGAAAGTTCCAAGGAAAGACCATGGAGGGGTTCCCACTAACTGGGCAGGAGCTGGAGCAAACCCAATACCTGAAAATGTTCCCTAGACAAATCCAAATGCTGCAGGAGATATGAAATGTATGAACAGCATTTCTCTGCAGATAGCACTAGTCCAGTGCTCAAAGATATATCTGCTGGGCACAGCAGGGCATCTTTTCTACAGGCTTTTTAAAATACATGTTATTTAGAAGTTACACAAAAGATTTTTTTTTAAATTATTCTTTTAATTGCTGCAACTAAAGTTCAGTTTTCAAATTATTTTCTTCTTAATTCGTAAATTCAAAAGAAAATTTTACATTCTTCACCACTTTTTAATTTTTAGAGCAAATCTAGAGGTATGCTTTTTAATCAGTGCATATGTCCATTTATTTGTCTTGTGAGCTCAGTCAGTGGCTATGCTCTGTACAGAACCAGACAGTTACTCAAAACAGGCCAGGGAAAAGAAATATTTTTTTTCTGAGACAAAGCAATGCTCTACTTGGAAGCAACTTGTCAAATATGTTATAAAATATTACTTTATTTTACAGTAAGTGAAACTTTTTCATCTTGTTTATTCCTACTGCAGGAAAGCATCACTGAGGAGGAGCAACACACAGACTTTGTTTGAGAATTTTGATTCTCTTAGGCCCAGACATAAGGGAGATGTGAAAAAAAGATGTCAGAACTGAGATGGAAAGAAGAACTTAAATATTATCCAAAATTACCTCTAATAATGAGAACCTGCCAGGTGTTTTGATCTCTCCTCCTACCTTGCATTCAAATCAATTTTGTAACATACGAATTTTTCTTTATAAGTGCTAAGAATTAACATGGACATAATAAAATCTCCAACTGCTGCTGCATTGAAAACTGTGGACTGTATCATCCCATGGGTCTAATTATACTTTTGTACAATGATTTGTGGTGCCTTTGTCACTATGTGGCTGAATAACAAATAAATGGCTGTAGATACATGAAAGCAAGGCTGGAGGATTTCATACCATCACCAGGAATTAGTTGTTGAGAGCATTTTTTGTGGGTAGACTCCCAAGAAATCAAGGCTGAAGTTGTCTGTGCTTTTACAGGACTTGTGGCCTCAACTCTGTCCTTTCACTTGTGATAATCAACATGTACCTGATTTCAGGGATTAAAAATAAACACAGCAATCAATCTCAGAGTAATATCTCTCTTCCTGCTTTAAATGGACTCTCCAGCTGTGCTGTGTGCTCAGCCCTGACTCTGCTGCACCCATCAATTGTCAGCATAACAAAAAGCTCGTGGCCAAATTTTGGAGCTTTGCAAATATTCCTTCATGCTCTAAGCCAGCAAGTCACAAAGGGCAGCTGCTCTCAGGCACTCAGATGAGGCAAAAGAAATGATCCTGTCCTTCAGCACTTTCCTGACCTGGGCTTCTCTCTGCCAGCTGAAGGAGCTGGGAGCAGCCAGTGCAGGTCGGTGCTGCTGCTGCAGACAGAGCTCCTGCAGTGCTGCAAATCCCTGCAGACAGCAGCCCTCACTCAAACTTGGGATTTGTAATGCTGCTGCAGGCTCACGAAGCTTTTGGATAAATATGAGTATCTAGGAAGGTGGGATTTCTGAGTTAGATGCTAAGTTTAATTCCCCCATGCATTTGCTGGTTTGCAAAGAGACTCCTTGGAATTTGTGATTTGTTTTAATGATCCATGCCTTAGCCTTGAGGAAGCAAAGAGCTGAAAGACTGGATGAAAGCAGGGTAAGAAAACACACTGAGTCCAGCAATTATTTAACTGAGCTTTCTAACACATCAACACTCTTTAAATTTTATCACCTAATTACTTCTTGGCTCTAGGTGACAATATTGGACCATGGCACGCACTGAGATTGCAGCAATTCTGCCCAGATGTTTGTGCAGAACACTCTTTCTCGATTGCAATATAATTGTGACATGCATAGTGCTGAGATATGGACAGGGTTTATTTCGTTTTGATATCTTTATGGCTTAAGTATTTTGATTACCTAAGAACTCTGATTCATTGCATCTTTCCTTTTGTATTACGCCCTCTCCCCTCCAACCACTCAATTTTTCCTTGGCATTTGTCTCATCCTTGATGGAAGCATTTAAAAGCAGCTCTTTATAGCTCTTCTTTTTTGGTTTTGCCAAGCACTGAACAATGTGACTGAATTAAATTAAATGCATTTCAAGCATTAGGATGGGCTTCTTTGTGTTACTTAGTCTGATGGGTTTTCTAAGTAAGTCAGACCTGCTACCCATAGACCTCTGTGTGTGTGACATTAATTAGGCCCTTCCAAGTCCAGCAGGTCAGGGTGGGGAGGAAAGTTTGTCCCAGCTTTGATAGAACTCACAGATGGAAACCAGGCAGTTCCATCTTCTCCATCTCCAAACTTAACAATGTGCAAATTCAGGCCTGAATCTCAGTGCACTGCGAGCTGTAGAGGGAAGGAAGGGCAAGGAGAGAAAATAACTCCTTTTTAATGATTTCCAGCACAACCCAGCTATCCTCCCATGGAGCTGCACCAGGGACTGCCAGGAGGGCAGGACTGAAGGCAAAAGGCTCCTTAACAAGGCTGGGAGCCAGGAGAAATCTCAGGCTGCCCTTATCTGCTGAGTGATAACACTGAGCTGGGAACCTGGGAAAGACTGGGAAGAGCCAGGGAGAGTCACTGTCTGTGGGATTTATGGACAGAGGGCTGATAACACCATCACAGGCAGCACACAGAGCAACGTGCCAGGTGTACAGGGCACAGCAGGGCTGGACAGAGCTGCTGGGCAAAAGGCAAGGAGGGAGGGCTCCCAAGGCTGCCCAGGAATGGCTGCTCGGTGGAATAAAGCAATTTCCAGGATTATTTTGCAGTCTGACCAAGTGGTCTGTGGAGATTTGATACTCCAGAGACGATGTGGTGATCTGGAGAAGCAGTGGGTTTGCCACTGGGCTGAGTGGGATGGGCAGATGGCACACACTGGCAATTTGTGTGTCAGCAAATCCCAGCTCCTTGGCAGGAGATTCTGGAGCATGAGGAGCCTGCATGAGAGGCACATTTCTCCAAGGCCAAAGGTTCCCTCAACACAGAAATATATTAACCATAAAGCTTAATATACCTCAAGAAGATGAAAGAAGTTGGAAGTGAAAAGATTTAATTATCTTGAATAATTGCTTGGATTTTTTCCACCCATTTTTTAGAAAATCAGTCTAAAAGTAAGAAGAAAAAAAAAGCCTAATTCTTTGGGGGGGGGGTTCAGAAAAATAATAATGCTTGGGATTTTTTTCTTTTAATATCATGTTCCAAGAAGACATTATTTCCCTGTTTTTTCCATGAAGACATGATGTATTGGATGATCCAAGTTTTTCCACAGCCTGTGCTTCTAGAACAAGAATGAAAATGCTGAAACACCCATGGCTTTGAGTTTTTGCTTTCTTATTAGGATTCTGCAGAGTCCTACACAAAAGGTTTTGAATGCTTTTGTCATAGATGTCACTCCTCCCAAGGATTTGCTCTGGTTGTCTTGGAGTCACCATGTACTTCAAACTCAATGAAAACTCCTGTGGAAGTCCCTGAAGGGATTGGGAAGTCAGCCACTGATGTTTTTGACAATGGACAGTCAGGGGAGAGGGAGGGAGCTCTTCTATTTCCATTGCAATTGCCTGTTCTGGTTACCATGACATCTAATAAATCCTTATGGAGAAGGGAAATGTTTTCTATGGAAATTCTCAGTATTTCTACAGTAAGATTTACAGCATTTGCTTAACCCTGCAAGGCAAGAGCACGAATTCTGCAGGCTTGAAGTTGGCTTCGTTTGCTCCAACTGTGTATTGATGGGCTTTTTTGACAGCTCAGGGTTCCACCTGGAATGCAAATATTGGGTAATATTTGAGTTAAGAAGAAATGTCTGCTTTTCTGTGCAACCTGGAAGGGAAGGCAGACAGGGCTGGGCATGGCCCCTCCGACCTCGAATCTCCAGCCCAGAGATAAGAGCAGAGCACTTAACAGATACCTGGGATTTTTAATTACCAAGGACTCTTCATCCTTCCCAGCTTTTTTAATGAATCCCGGCGGTACCCCAGAGCAAAAAGGCGCCAGAGAGTGTCCCTGCACAAAGTTTAATCTCACTTCACTTCACATTATCAACTCTTTACATTCAATTTAAAAGGGTTGAGCGCAAAGTAAAGGACCCAGGAGCAGCTTTTTTCCCCGGGCCTCCCGTACACGAATCTTTTCGGAAGTGACCCCGGGGCGGGGGCTGGAAGGGGCGCGGCTCTGCCCGGCCCTGCCTGCCCGGAGCGGAGCGGAGCGGGGAGGGGCGGTGCTCCGTCCGTCTGTCCCTCCGTCTGTCTGTCTGTCCCTCCATCCGCCTCTAACTCTGGCTGTGACTCTGTCCGGCTGTAACTCTGTCTGTAACTCTGTAACTCTGTCCGTCCGTCGGTCCCAGCCGCCCCAGGTGCCCGGGCAGCCGCGGGCGGTGAGTGCCGAGGGAAGGGGGCGGGCAGGGAGCGGGGGACAGCGGGGTCCGGCTCGGCCCCTCTCGGCCCCTCGGAACCAGAGGGAGGAGTGGAAAATACCCCTGGAAGCCATAGGGAAGCTGGGTAGGAAGGCGGTGAGACCCCGAGGGTGCAAGTGTTGCGTTAAAAGCTAAATTATTGCTCTCACTTTCCTTTTCGCTCTGGCGGGACCGTGAATGTTGGTTTGGCTCCCAAAGCGCTCAACAAAACCCCGCCGTTTCAGCGTGCGGGTTTCTTCTTGTAGGTTTTTATTAACTGTATTAATTTGTGTTAATTACAACACGATAACCAACGCGATTGCGTTCTCCTGCTCAGTGCCGGTGGGTTTCCATTGGGACTCTCGCAGCCCGGGCAGTGTGGGATGCCCTGGGCTGAGCTGGCATCTCCTGCCCGAGGAAATTGTTTTGAGCAGCTTTTCCTCAGCCCATCCTCACTGCCCAGCACAGCTGCTCCGTGTCCCACTTTTCCCTGCTCACAGAAAAACTGGGAGAAGAGCCTTAACACGGGGACAACTCGCTGGAAGAGCAAACTCTCCATAAGAAATCCGGGTGGGATGGAGCTGCTGCAGGGATCTGCTTCGGGCATTGCAGAGCAGCCAACAGCTCAGCTGCCCTTGGGAGGTGACACAACTTCCCTGGAATATCCCTGCCAGCAGGGAGCCGATTCCATGCGATCTTCCCCAAAAATGCTGCTCGCTAGAAGTGGCGAGATCCCATGTTTGGAGTAGGAGCAGATCCCATAATTCACAAAAACCAGGTTTTATTGTCCGGCTTTGCAGGTTTTCCCACTTGAGTGGATGGCTGCAGAAGTGAGGCAGCTCTGTTTCCACATGTGTTCCTTAAAGGTGGTTTTCATTATTCATGTTATTTTCAGTCCTTTGTGGAAGCAAATGTTTGTGGCTTGAATGTTTTGCTGGAGGATATGAAGGATTTTGTCAAATTCCGAGGTGCAGGCAGTGTTTTCCTGCTTGTCTGGGTATTATCAGCATAATATCGAATTTCCTTATTGCTCCACAACAAGAAAGATATTAACTGAAAAAGGCCATTGTTAGGCAAGAGAAAGGTCAAACATTTAGTTGTCAAAATGCTGTGGTATGCTTTCCTGTTATTCTTAGGGAGGGCATTTTCTAAGGGCCCAGCTCTGGTTCAGTTTATGTGGAACTTTCTGATTCACATGCTTCTCCTTTACAGTTCTCCAGAAAATGCTCGTGTCTTTTTAGATCATGGATTTATTTTTTTAGTGCATGTAAATTCTCCTGTGTAGCAATGGGCACATAAGGGTGGGGGGGTGATCACAAACAGTGATAATTCAAATGTAGAAAACTAAGGAAAACTGAGATGGGTGTTGTAGAAAGAATACTTTTGATTTAGTTTCTACTCTGAAGTGTTCACACCTGAAGTTTCACCTTGCAGTAGTTATTTCAGCAGGTGAGTGAGCTTCACAATCCATTTTTCTCTTGCTCTCAAGGTGACTCTGATCTTCCACAGATGGATGAAGTCCAAGCCAGCCCTGGGCTGCAGGTAGTGCTCCCCCAAAAACAGGAGCCAGGCAGGTGCTGCCACATCATGGGATCAGAAAGAAGGGCCCAGATGGGCTCCAGAAATAGTCTGGAGATCTGATGACTTTTACAGACTGCAGGACCTCGCTGTATCTGTATTTTATGGCAGTCAGTTGATAACAGATACTGGTAATTTCCTCAGTTCTGTCTTGCAGATTTTTTTTTTTTTTTGTCTCAAGCGAAGTTTGTGGCAATGAGACACCCCCTGAAAGACCAGAAGGAGTTATAAAAGTGAATTCTAGGTTGTGTGTAAATGGCAGCTTTCAGAATAAAAACCACAGCAGCTCCTTTTTCAAATTAAATGTGCAGAATGTCCTTCAGTGTCCAAACCATGAACCAAAGGGGTTTTCTCAGGGTTGGGTTTTTTTCTGTTTAAGAACAAAACCCAGTTTTATTAAACAAGCCTGGGCTAACGGTTACAAAATTAATACAGGGCAGCACTTTGAGGCAAAAAAAGGGTGAAATGGGTGTTGGAAATTGTGTCATTTCCTGCTATCCTGACATGGCAAAGGGCAGGGACTGTGTGGTGAAAGGTCCTTTTCATGCCACGGGGAGAAAGCTGTCATGCAAGTCAGCACAAAGAGCCAGTATGTGCTCAGAGCTCTGGAGCCAAAAAGGTTTTTACTTAGAGCATTTCCCTACTGTCTGGACATGAGTGAAACCCAGGCACCCCCTCCCATGCAGATGTTTTACAGCAACACCAAACTGAGCTCTCTGGGGTTTATGCTGGCACATTTAAAATTCCCAGGTTTGAGTGAGCTGCCTGCAAGTCTTGGAGGAGGCATAGAAGGAATCAGAAGGATTTGCATATTTACTAAAATCTCAGAAAACAAACTCATTGCTACACACAAAAACTAGTCTGGGTTAATTTTTTTCCCCCTCAGCTTTTAGAGTTTTGATTTGCTGAGCTTTGGGTGGGTGAGAAACTTTTTGATTTGTAACTGTGCTGATAAAACAAATAAAACTTCTTGAGCAAATACAGCTCCACAATGTGCTTTTGCAAGGTAGAGCTGACCCAGGCTTTTGTAATACTCCCTTGGTTCTCACTGTGTATTTAGGGGGGTTGTGAGGGCTGTAAATCATCCCTGAGCACACTTTGCAGTCCTGTACAGGTGGGTGAGATTGGAAATCTGCAAGGTAGGGGTGAGGGTCTCCTCCAGGTGTGATCCCTGTATCATCCTCAGCATTCCCCTTCTTGCAGTGCAGTTTTTTCATTTAAAAATCCTGATTCTTCACGTGGCTCTGGAGGTGGCACTCTGTGCTGGGCTGGGGACAAGCTGGGCATTGAGCACAGCTTGGACTCAGTGGGCTGGGAGGGCTTTTCCAACCTCAGTGATCCTGGGATATTATGGGATATTACAGCAGGGAAGGATACAGCCCCTATCAGACAGCAAATCCATCCCTGCTGTGCCATGGGGCTGGGGCTGAAACCCTCCTGGGACAGCCAGCAAAGAGTGCCTGTGGTTTTTTGGGAGGGTGCAGGAGCTCAGCCACCAAAGAGATGCTCCCTGTGTGGGTGTGTGGTGAATGGAAACACCTTTGGGAGTCCCAGCGTGGAGCAGGAGAGAAAACAGAAACTCCTCCCTGGTAGCTCCTGTCAGCATCTGCTCTGTGTTGGCTTTAGAGATACCTGCAGCTCCAGGGACAAGGACACCACAGTGTGAGGTGGGACACTTGGATTAGTTGGGTGGAATCATTTTCTAATTGCTTCTAGAAGTCTCTGAAGAAGCCATTCTAAATATTAAGTTCTGTAGTTGGTTCTAGTCTTGTGGGTTCCTTCTGCTCAGGCTGTCCCAAGGCAGCAGGCATCACACAAAATCACTTTTCTCACTTCTCCCTCCCATGACTTTGGGAAAGTCACACTGCAGGGATGCTAGCAGTGAGTTTTTAATTAGGAAATATTTCTGTGCCAGTAGGGCTCTTCCAGCTGCTCAGGGAAGTGCTGGAGTCCCCATCCCTGCAGGGATTTAAAAGATTTGTAGATGTGGCACTTGGGGCCATGGGTTAGTGGAGGCTTTGGCATTGCTGGGGGTGGTTGGACTGGATGATCTCAGAGGGATTTTCCCACCTGAATGATTCCACAGTTCTGGGATGCTCTAACTACGTGTGAAATGGTGATTAAATGTACACATTCTGAGGCAGACCCAAGTGGCATCCTTAGCACTGCCAGTTCCAGGAGCAATTTATCAATTGGTACGATTAATTCAGGACAATTGGACAATTAATTGGGCAATTAATTCAGCACTGAACCTTCCATGGGCAGTGGTCTGGCTGGTGTTTGCAGTGCACAGAGAAGATGTGAGCAGCACATAAAATCCATGTTGTCATTGGCACTCTGGGACTGCAGTGCCAGCAAGGGAAGCCTGGCAGTGCCAAATCTCGGGGTTCTCTTGCTGGGTCACCCCCCCAGAACAGCGAGTTTTGGCTGAAATGGTCTCCTTGTGCTGGTGGTACCAGGTACTGGGGCTTAAGGAGTTTTCTGGAGAATCCTGGATGTTTTCTGAAGGTGGGAGAGCTGTGTAAGTGCTGGCAGTCACTTGGTGCACTCAACTTTCATTCAGGTTTGTCTCATAGAGATTTTTCTCTTTCCCAGTCAGGCACTATGTTCCCAGTATTAAATTATTGGTATAATTACCCTGTTTTACTGTCTATGGGCAGCTTGGACTGGAGCACCAGTTCCAGCAGAAGTGTCCCACCTACCTATCATTGTGCCCATTAATATGTTTTCCACTTGTGTACATTATTTTGATCAGGTGCAATTTCCTTGTAAAACCAGCTTTTCCAAAGTATGAATTGCTTTTTTCACCGTGTGTTATTGTAAAAAAGCCACTTCTTAGGTAACCAACCTTTACAGTATTTGGCAGGCATCACTGCATTAAAGAAAAAAAACAAACAGAAAACAACCCACAAGAGCTGTGCTCTGCTGGAAATGTCCTACCTGCCGTTAATTTTCAGCAGTTGAACTGGAGTGTCTGTGGCACTACAATAACCCCTCTGTCTGGCTTTGCAAGGTGGAGCTGGCTGCAGGCGGGGATTTTCTCAAGGAATCCTCCCAGGAAGGCAGCGCTGCTGCATTCCTGCCCATTTCCCAACACTGCCAGCAGCGCTCCTGGAAAGGTCACTCCTCGCTTCACAGGGATGCAGGGACGAGGCTCCTTCCCAGTTTGCTTGGAAATTGCTTTGTCTCAGCTGAGCTGAGAGTTTCAGCCCTTGCTTTTCAGAAATGTTCATAAATCAGTTCAGCTCTTTTCCCAAATGTCCTCATCAGCAATTATCAGTCTAAATGAAGAATTAATAGATCATTAGCACGTTCAGTAATGACAACAACAGAGCATTATGGAAACGTTTTACATTCGTTTTTGGTTTAATGGTCTTTCTTTGGGTTTTCAGTGAGCCCTGGTGATGGCAGCAATGACAGAGACCAACAACATCCATGCAGTGATGGAAGGGCCAGAAGGAGATGATGCCAAGTGCAATTTCCATCACAGAATATTCCTGGAACCCCAAGAGAAGAAAAGGGACATGAAGGCTCTGCTGGTTAAGCAAGCAAAGAAAACTTGCAGCTGCACCCCAGCCAAAATTAAAGATTGTTTTTTGGGGTTTTTCCCCATCTTACAGTGGCTTCCTAAATACAAACTCAAGGAGTACCTCCTGGGGGACATCATGTCTGGTGTGATCGTGGGGGTCCTGCTGGTGCCACAATCCATTGCCTACTCTCTCTTGGCAGGCCTGGAGCCCATTTATGGCCTTTACACTTCCTTTTTTTCCTGCATCATTTACTGCATCTTCGGCACCTCCCGCCACATCTCCGTCAGCATCTTCGGGGTGGTTTGTCTGATGCTGGGGCAGGTGGTGGACAGGGAGGTGGAAAGAGCTGGCTTGGACCTGGATCCAGCTGTGCTCAGTGCCCTGCCAGGCCCAGCAGGGGACAGGAACAGCAGCAGGAACGGGACAGAGCTGCTGTGTGACAAAAGCTGCTACGCCATGGCCGTGGCTGCCACCGTGACCTTCATCTCTGGAGTTTACCAGGTAAACACAGCTGGACACACGGCTGCTGTTGGCCTCACTCAGACATCAAAATGACATGAGACATCTCTTGGAACCCTGGCCACTGAGAATTTTAGATTTTCTCTGCTGGCAGGAACTGACCCCCAAGAAAACACTGCATTAAAACCGAGGCCGTGGAGAAAATCCTGTCATTCCATTGTGGAAGCTATGGGTGTGTAGTTTGAATAGAAGTGTGTGATATCACATGGTGGAAAAGATAGATTTTAAGGTTTTAGAATATAGTCATATATATATAAAGCAAGATTGAGGTTTTAGGGCAGAGATTTGTCCTTTTTCTTCACCTTCTTCTTCATGGATTTGGGTGATATTGTGTAATTGGATAGAAAATTCCACATTGCAGGCCACGGGTGATTTGTTATCGGGTGAAAAGTAAAAATAATTGAGGTGTCACTTCTTAATTGGACAGTTTATCCTTAAAAAGCCTCGTAGAGAGAGAGAGAGAGATAGGGCTCCATTTTTAGTTTGTTAGCTTGAAGTGCTGTAGAACTCTGTTTATGAGACTGTAAAATAGATAAGAAATAATAAACATCTGAGTCCAAACAAGAAATACCATCTGACACATTCAATCCCAACCCTGGCAAAAAGAAGACAAAGACTCAACACAACATCTGGGGATTTTTTTTTTTTTGTGCAGAATAATTTAATTTTTTATTGTGGAAAGTTCATTTTTATATGGCATTAGAAGGCACTGTGTTTGAATGTACTTGGTTAGTAATCTAGTGAAACTCAGTTCATTAATTGGTAAGGGTTATTGTATTTGTCTGTCAAACTTTGCTGATTTTAGATAGTTTGCATATTTGCTTCACAGAGATTCTCACGAGATAGAATTCTTATTTTTGTAAGTGCAGCTTGTTTTTTTCACAAGAACAGATTGTTATGCAAATTGATTTTTCATCCTTAGAATTTGTTTCTCACAGAAACCCAACAGGCTAACTTAATTCAGTTAAAACAGTAATAACACCTGATTTTACAAGGCCATTTTCACGAAGTTTTAACCTATATATACCACAGACAGGCAGGTGTGGTGTGCAAATAGTTGTAATTCTTCTGTAGGGAATGTCCCCATCCTGCTGGGCTTGCACATATCTTCAATCTGCACCTCGGGGCTGGAGGTCACTGTGGTGCAGGAAACTCCTCTGGGTGCTCTCCCCCTTTTTTAACAGAATTTCCTGCCTGCACTGCTTCTTTTTGCTTCTCTTTTAGGGAGTGCTCCCCATTTTTTAACAGCTTTTCTTGCCTCCATTGTTTCTCTTTTGGGGACTCTTAAGTACCTGCACCTCCAGCTCTCAAGGTTTGCTCACCACCTTCCTCACTGTGGCCTGAAGCTCTGTTTAATTTTTTTTTTTTTTTGCATTAGACCCCATTTCATCAGGCCAAAATCAGCTCCTAATTCCAGTCTTTAATCATTTGCCTTTAACGAGGAAAAATTTGGACAGTAAAAGTATCTCCAGTTCCCTTTTATTTGTAAATGTGCTTTTAAAAATTTGCTGTTTGCCCATTTGAAGCCAAACCAATGCTACTGCATGGCAAGGATTCTGCTGAGAGGATCCAATATATTTTATATTTATTCATTCTCTACTTATTTTCTAGAACTCACAGCTTGCCTAAATTAAAGCAGGTATCTTTGTTTTTAGAGTCTTATTCATTAACCAGAATGGGATTATTTTTTTGCAGTACTGCAGAGCTGAGGTATTTGAGTTTGTGAGTTCACATTCATTTGTTCTCATGTGTCCAGGGTTGAGTGGGAGACAATCAAAATATCTAGGAGGGGAGCAAAACATGTTTGTGATACTTTAAAACACAGGTTTTGGGCACAACCTGGAACTTTTTGTACTGCAAGTTCGTGTTGAGTTATTTCAGAAATATTCTGGGCCTCTCAGGCTATGCTGAATTTTGGGTTTCATCTTTCATCCCTGTGGGATGGGTGCAGTTTTGGAGTTGTGAATTGTACTTATTATTCTTTGCAAGTACAAATACAGTTAAGTTTCTTTATCTGAAGAAATCAGATTAATTTATCTTCTGTCCCTCTGAATATTAAGCATATTCTCTAAAGGCCAACACCCTCAAATTTTCTTTTTTCAACCAAAATCACATATTCTTTGTATCAGAAACTTTACAATCAAATCATAAAAAGCAAATCTTCTCCCACCAGTTAATACAGCCTAACTAGGTTAGCTAATTATTATTAATGTTTTACACTTAGATCAACCTTGAATTAATTATCAAGGCTATAAGGGAGCCTTTGTGAGAGCTGTGAGCTGATTTCAGCCAGTCCAGCTCCCAAACCTGCCTTGTCTTCTTGGAGAATTCTTTGTAATTCAGTAATTCTTTGAGATTCTCCTGGAGTTCCCAGTTATCTGTGTTTTATATGACCTGCAGCAGAGTTTGCAGCTCATTGCAGACTTTGTGAGTCAGAGGACAGTTATTAGGACAGTTGTTAACCCACAAAGCTGTGGTTTTATTGCAGGCTCTCAACTCCAGTGTAAGGTAGACAAAGGCCACCAGAAAAGTTTTAGATCCTTGCAAAGTTCACAGAGTTTAGAGGAACCGAAAGAGAAATGGCAAAAGCAGGCAGTGCTTCAAATGTGAGGTTTAGGTTTGGTTTTTTTCCCTAGGTTTTCTTTTTTTCCCCATCTGGGTAATTAGGAGAGCAAACAAGAAATATTTAGAAGACTCCCAAAAAAGCCTGGTTTGAATACTGGAGACTTTTCTCCCTGCTCAGACCACGCCTCACCCTTCAGGGCCATGCCCAATGTTGTTTTTGTTTTTTTTTTTTAATCCCAGCTGATAAAATCTGTGGAATTTCTGTCGTGACCTGTTGTGTGTGGTTGATTCCTTCCAGGTGGCCATGGGTTTCTTCCAGGTGGGCTTTGTCTCCGTGTACCTGTCGGATTCTCTGCTCAGTGGCTTTGTCACAGGGGCCTCCATCACTGTGCTGACCTCACAAGTCAAATACCTTCTGGGCCTGGACATCCCTCGCAGCGGGGGCATCGGCTCCCTCGTCACCACCTGGATAAACATCTTCAGGAGCATCCACAGGACCAACCTCTGCGACCTCATCACCAGCTTCCTGTGCTTCCTGGTGCTCATCCCGGCCAAAGAGCTGAACGAACGCTTCAAATCCAAGCTCAAGGCTCCCATCCCAGTGGAACTCTTCGTGGTTGTGGCAGCCACTCTGGCGTCTCACTTTGGGAAGCTGAGAGAGAATTACGGCTCCAGCATTTCCGGGCACATCCCCACTGGGTTCCTGCCACCACGGCCTCCAGACTGGGCCCTGATTCCCAACGTGGCGTTGGATGCCATCCCCATTGCCATCATTGGCTTTGCCATCACCGTGTCCCTCTCGGAGATGTTCGCCAAGAAGCACGGCTACTCGGTGAGAGCCAACCAGGAGATGTACGCCATCGGCTTCTGCAACATCATCCCCTCCTTCTTCCACTGCTTCACCACCAGTGCTGCTCTTGCCAAGACCCTGGTCAAGGAGTCCACGGGCTGCAGGACCCAGATGTCCGGCCTGGTGACCAGTTTGGTGATCCTCTTAGTGCTCCTTGTGATCGCGCCGTTGTTTTACTCCCTGCAGAAATGCGTCCTCGCCGTCATCACCATCGTCAACCTCCGCGGGGCCCTGCGCAAGTTCAGGGACCTGCCCAAGATGTGGCACCTGAGCAAGGTGGACACGGTGATCTGGGGGGTCACCATGGTGGCCACGGCGCTCATCAGCACCGAGATCGGGCTCCTGGTGGGGGTTTGCTTCTCCATGCTCTGCGTCATCTTCCGCACGCAGCGCCCCGAGGCGCCGCTGCTGGGCTGGGTGGCCGAATCGGAGACCTACGAGTCCCTGTCTGCCTACAAAAACCTGCAAACCAAGCCCGGGGTGGTGGTGTTCCGATTTGAAGCCCCCCTGTATTACATCAACAAGGAGTGCTTCAAATCCATCCTCTACAAACAAACTGGGGTCAACCCCGTGTGGGTGAAGGCGGCCAAGAAGAAAGCGGAGAAGAGGATGCTCAAGGAGAAGGAGGAGGGGTCTGGGGACAAGCAGAGCGACATCCCCACGGATTTGGGGTTGGAAGCTGTGGGGTTTCACACCATAGTGATCGACTGCTGTGCCGTGCAGTTCCTGGACACGGCCGGCATCCGCACGCTCCAGGAGGTCTGCAAGGACTACGGGGACATCGATGTCCACGTGCTGCTGGCCCAGTGCAACCCTTCTGTCAGGAGCTCCCTGCTCCGAGGGGACTTCTTCAAAGAAGGGGAGGAGCACCTGCTCTTCCACAGCGTGCACCAGGCCGTGGACTTCGCCCTGGGCACGCAGGGCCACGGTGCTTGCAAGAACTAGGTGGGAAAGAGAGGAGATAGGAGCAAAGGCTGGGCAAACAGGGCTGTGTGTCTGTGCAATCTCTGTGTGTGTGTGTGTGTGTGCTCAGGGAGCAGGGCAGGGTGGTGCCAGCACGCTGGGACTGTGCCATCTCTCTGGATTGACCTGCCAGCTGTGGGGATTCCACAGCAGGTGCTGGAGGAAGGAAGTTCTTACCTCGATTGTGGCAAATCTGAGCTTTGAGTTGTTCATCTCGTGTCTCCTCTCTGGAGCTTTCTGTGTCTCAGTTCCACCCTGAAGTTGTGATCAAGGCTTTTTTTGCAACCATGTCCTTGTGGCTGTAGGAGTAGGATGCAGTGCTTTGTGGAGTAGGCTGGGCATCCTGTCCAGCTGAAGAATGAGGCAACTCATTTCTCATCCCTCATTCTGGCCTTGCTTTCCATCACCACACCCTTGGGTTTGCCAAGGAATGGCTGCCAGGGACTCTTTGCTCTGGTCTTTACTGGGCACTGTTTGATTCTGCAACCTCCTTGAATCTCAGATAGAGAAATCAAACCTGAACATGCAGGAAAATATCTTCATGAATATCTTTTTTAACCAAGCACCTCTCACCTCCAGAGGTTTTGGCACTGCCTCCTAATTCAGCCAGGCCACAAGGGCATGGTTATCTCATTTCTCCACACACCTAAACCTGCCTGTGCCCATGGAAATTCCACCTCTCCAGCCTGATTTTAATGATTTTTAAATTTTTTTTCTTTTCATGGATGACTCTTTAGAAGTCTGATTCCTTCTTATGGTCAGCCAGTTGTTTCTTTCCTAATATTTAGGAGCTCTTTAGAATTGTGGACATTAGATATGGAAAATATCTAGTTCTTTAATTTTAACCAAAAAAAAGTCCATTCTAGACAGGTTTTTTTTATGCCAGACAGAGAAAATCACAGGCACCAAAGTGAAAAGGGACAAATGGATTATCCAACATCTGCCCAGATGTGTCCATGTCACTGAGACTTTGTGCATGAATGCAGGATTTATTGGCTATCAATTTATTGGCTTTGCTCTGTCCTGGACTTCATGCAATGGGAGTGCACAGATCATTGAAAAAGGAGCCAGGAAAATTCTTTTCTGAACTTTTTTTTTTTTTTTTAACCAGTTCAGTGTAAATAGAGCTTTTTACTTTGATTTGAAATTATGTGGAAGTGAAGAGTGCCTGTTCTTCGTGCTAAAATCCAAGGGGAGGAAAAGATTCTCTTTCCTCACAGCAGTAGAATACAATTGTGAAGGCAGAATTGAGAGATTGCCAGCTTTTCCTGAATACCAGCTGTACACAGCACACATCCCTGGAAGAGGATGCTTTCCTCCCAGAAGAGTTTACAATCTGAATTTCAGGTGCTTCACAGCTTTTAAAATAGAAAGGTGCTGTGTACAGACAACATTCTCATCCTTAATCATTCAAAAAACAATGAGTCAGAAGCCAAAAAAAAGGCATAAAATACAATATGAATTGTGGCATGTTTACTAAATAGGAAGATATTTTGAGTTTAAACTGTTTTATTGGTTCGTTGAGCAAGGACCAGTAACTGTTCTCTTCTTTCTGTGAATGTCATGGATCACTTCACTCTGGGAGCCTCAAAGAAGGATGAGGCAGCAGGAAAATGAATCCTTTTTGTGTAAACTGAATTTATTGCGTTTTTTAGGACACCAGAGCAGCAGAGAAATACTGGGGGAGGTGAGGAGTTTAAGGAGTTGAAATCACTGAATTGGCATTGCCAGAGAGGATTGGGCTGAGCTGTATAAAAGGGTTATATTATTCCATTTTTTTAGGGTTATATTTTTAGGTTGTAGTTCAGTTTTTTTAGGTTGTTATATGTTTAAGCTGTATTTTTGTTTTTAACCAAACCTGATTTGTGTGGAGGATCCCCAAGGTTTGTCCCCACAGGGATGGCAATGCCACAGCCCCTTTGCAGCAAAATTTCTTCACATGATCAGAAAAAAAAAAAAAAAATCTCTGGAACTTCCAACAAAAGCCTCGATGCTGTTTTGAAACTCTAATTTTTAACTCCTGTTTTGCCACAGGGCAGAGCAGCAGAGCTACAAGTGCTGATGAAGAAGGACAGCACAAATGTTTTATTTTTTTCTTGCAAATATTCCTGCCTTCCTGCAGCTGCTTGTTCTCACCCTTTCCCCTGAGACATGGGCAGGACACAGGGAGAGGAGATTTCAGCACAGGAAAACCAGGAGTGCTACAAAAGTCAAATAAAAACTGCTCTGGGTAATTCTTTCCTCTTTCCCTCTCTGCCATGTTCTCTCCATGCTGCCCAGGTGGAGATTTTTTTCACCTGTGACCATGCACAGGTTTGTGTCACTAAATTCCCAACTTTTATTTAATAAAAGATGGTTCTGCAAATCCATTCCTACCTTTGCCAGGAAGGGAGGAATAGCAATGTTAATTCCAAAAAGGATTAGTGGGATGTGTGTTTGTGGCTCGTGGTTATTTATTTACATAAAAGCACAATAAAAGAGCCATTAAATGATTTTTTCCAGGTAATAAAATCAGATTATATCTAAAAGATGTGCTGAAGATTACCTGGAGCACGTTTTGTGCAGCCTCCAAATTCCATTTCGAGCAAAACACAAGAAATTATTAAAATGCAACAGCAAAATCAGGCAGACAACCAAAAGAAATGCTTTTAATATTCTTATTTAAAATAACTTCCAGGGGTCATAGCATTAATAAGTATCTATTAATGCACACTGCCCTGGCTAAAAGGGAACTGAAATAAATGACATTTGCTAGAGAGTTCAGTGCAATAGTTCTTGGGAATTAACTGGAGATTAAAGCTTATTATAGCTGGAATTTCTTAGAACACTGGGTTTCAGCCCTTTGCTTTTTAGGCCTGGAATCATTTTTTTAGCAGTGACATGAATCTGATTTGAGCCTACTGGCGAGCAGCACATTTTGCTGGTTTGGTTGTTTTTTTTTTTTTATGGACCCTTTAAAGCAATCCAGTTTTATCTTTAGGAATTGAGGATCACTGATTGGAAACTTTTCCTCTAAAGCATTTGTTTTCTAAAGGAGCTCCATGTATTTCTGTATTTTGCTGCTGTGTGATTCATGCAGCATTTGAATATCTCTATTTATGCTTTTTTGATATTCCTGTCCTGGCCAGGGCTCTCCTGCCTTCTGCTGTTTTAAATGAACAGTGCCACGTTTTTAAAGGTTTTTTTGGTTTTTTTTTTTTTTTTCCCAGATGCATGTGCCAGGGTTTTTTAAGGGGAAATCTGCCATTCTCACTGCTTCCCGTGCCTTCCCTCATCCCCTGAATTTATAAACTATGGGAAGAGGGCCCCTCCAAATAACTGGGTTTGGGTTTTCCATCAGTTCTGGAGCAGGGATTTTCCTGCCAGGTACAACCCCCAGGGCAGACTGGAAACTGGTATAAATCAGTTCAACTCTATTCCCAGTTGTCCTCATCAGCAATTATCAGTCTAAATGAAGAATTAAGAGATCATTAGCAGGTTCATTAAGGACAACAACAGAGCTTTAGGCTCAGCTGTACTGGGAATGTTTTTAGCACTCTCCTGCTCAATGCCAGCCTCTGGTTTTCCCCTCCTGTGTTGCTGCTATGGCTGAGTGGTAAATAAGAATTATTACCTGCGTTAAGAAATGTTTCACTTCTCTCAGTGTTTTGACACAAAAACCATTTTCAGTTCACTTCCCAAAACAGGGCCAGGCACTGCAATGGGCACAAGGTGCTGATTTTGGGTTTACACTGACACTGCCCAGCTGGGATTTAGTGATGCTGATCCTTTAAAGCCACTGCAGCTCCACCAAACCCCGCAGGACCAAACCCCAGCCTCTGTGTTTTGCCTCAGGACATTGAATATTGACTGTAAACAGAAGAAATGGTGTGAGTTGGTGTCCCATGTGACTGCTGCTCACTTTGCATGATCTTCTGAGAAAGCCAAAGCTCCTGAAAATCTAAATCCTAAAATGAGTGTAAAACAACCCCAAAAATGAGTGAAAAAAAAAACAAAAACCCAATCATGTAGGACAACCAGGGCTGGGGACTCTGCTGGCTGAGGATCCCCAGGCTGGAGCCTCAGCCTGGTTTGGGGCTGGCACAGATTTGGGGAGCTGTGTGTGCTGCCCAGGGGCCACAGAGAAACCTGGAGGTGTCTTCATGATGGGATTTCTGTCATTTGGT